AAACAACACACACACACACACACACACACACACACACACACACACACACACACACACACACACACACACACACACACACACACACACACACACACAGACTACTCTAATATAGCTGCCCGTCCGTCCAATGTTCATGCTACTCATAAACACTGTTATATATGTGTTTTATTGTCGAGGTGACCAGCGAGCTTACTTTTATATATAGACAGTTGTCTAATTACACATATCGCTGTCTGAGCTAATAATGTTTTCCTTTCTGAACATGCTATCCGACATGGCGGCTGTGGGGGGTATGTTCTGTCACACTAAATCAGACAATAAATAGAGTTGAGGACATTGTTATTGTCTACATTCTGTCTGGCAATGGTGCTGCATGAAGTAGAGGTGGATAAAATCCGAATAATCTATAAGGATAACCGGATAATTCTCAATGAAACATTATCCGAATTCAGACTCTTAACTCTCTTTTCTGACCCGTTTGCCTAAGTGGATGCTCCCGTTTGTTGAGAAATGATGCTACCCGCTTGCTGAAGCAGTTCATATCACATTATTTGTCATAGAGGTGCATTAACTTAGTATCCGGTTTTGCAAAAACGACTCATAGCCCAGCCCTAGCGTGAAGTGGCCATGAAGCTGATCATGTCAAGGCCCGACTGACAAACATCGATTGCGATGAGTGCAAGTAAAGGGTGCCCTTATTTTCGACATTTGGCTGCGTCGTTTTGTGTCTCCTTGAATGTGTCTTCTTGTGGGGGTTTTATTGGTATACCTTTATTAAAAACCGGATTTAGCATTGTACTTTCGTACGTGCATCATGATCAGAATCGTGGGCGAACCGGTTAACCGTTTTGATGTCACTTGCGGGAGACCAGATTTCGACTCCCGCTTAGGTGAATTCTTCTCTAGATCGACGAGTATCTCGGTCTCTCCACTTGGACGTTGTATTCCTCTCAAACCCGGCTGGCCCTGACAAGCAGGGTTGACGCCCTTCTCCTGAATGATTTGTGTCACGATGTTGTGGAATCAGGCCCTCGTCAATTTTTGGGGATGTGGAGTTATTGGTATCATCTTAAAGCTTGTTTATTTGTATTGCTTCGGATTTAAAAAACACTCATTTATCTTGAATAGAAGTCGAGATATTTGCGAATGAAGGAGGTGGTCACCTGGTTTCAGAGGTGAAATTATTGAGAAAATAGCTACCAAAGATGAGTTATTTACTTAACTTGAGAGTCCGTGAAAACTGAAAATTTACACTTTTTAGTGCCTTTAATCAACATTTTTCAGTATAATCAACACAGAAATATGTTCTTTAATGGGCATGAAAGGACATTAGCCAAAAACAAAAATTTCTATAAATATTCACAAACCCGCGGAAAAATGCCAGTTTCTTCACTTTGGTTAGGTTGACGAGCGCCTGATTTCACCACGATGCCTCACATTCATATTGTGAAATTGTGTCGATGTGGTTGTCAATAAATGTCCATTATTTAGAAGAAAAAAACTTTTTTAAAAAGGAAGTCTGAATCTTTTGTCTTGGGGTTGGCCTTGACTTTCCTCTTCCTTTGCCAGTGACATAGACGCGTACTCCTAGACCATGCACTGTCATGGCTACCGCAATGAAGCGTAAAAGGTCAGCCCATCAATAGGCTCAAACGATGCTCCCCAAAGCAGTCAGTGGGCACCATCTAGAGTAATACAAGTCTATGGACTGTGAACTAGTGGCCGGCGGTTTCCGATTATTGCAAACTAGGAATCGTAGGAATCGAGTCCGGACAACATTTCGTCCCTCTGTTGTGATTTCTTCCGGGTGTCCATGATTTCTTCAAGTGGTTCCCACCTCTAGACAATTACATGATTACTTACTTTACTTTTTACTTTTTCATCCTGTGTTGCCGTTAAGCGTCTCTTTCAGTTGTGATATTATGATTTCCCAGGGTTTCCTTGACATCTTCGATCCACCTTTTGCGTGGCCTTCCTCTTCCTTTATAGCCTGAGTGCTTGGTGTTGCAGGCTCTCAAGGCTGGCTGGTCAGGTGACATGCGTAACAGGTGGCCAAACCATTTTATCCTGTGTCTTTCTATGTAACGCAGGCAGGACTCAGTGCCGATAGCTGCTCTTACTTCTTCATTTCTCTGCCTGTCTCGTCTTGTGATGTTAAGGGTTTTGCGGAGACATTTATTTCGTTTCGCATGCGGTGATTTTGCTTTCTAGGGTTTTGCTTAAGGTCCAGGTCTGGCACTGATAACATAATGTTTGTATGAATATTGAGGTGATAAGCTGTCTCTTTTGTGTCCATGGAGATGTTTGGATGAGATAGAAGGGGTGCGAGCTGGTAGGTGACGGCGTTGGCTTTTTGTGTTCGCATTTCTATTTCTCTATCTATGGACCCGTTTTCGAAAAAAGTGCTGCCAAGATATTTAAACTCTGTCCCCTGTTTCAGTTGTTTACTATTGGCATGGATGTTCAGGGGACTATGGTTTCGGCTCACTTTCATAACTTCTGTTTTTGATGTGCTTATTTTCATGTTGAATTTCTCACAGGTGTTGTTGAGTACATGATTACTTCCTGCAAAGTAACAATTATTACTGTTACTTCCGATGAATCGAACACCTAGCCAGTTTCGGTTACCTAGTTGGCTTCAAGCAGCTTCAGGATCCAGGATAACCTCGATTTCGAAACACGGCAGGGCACCAACTTTTTCTTTTCAAAAACAAGTTTTCAAAAAAAAAAGAAAATTTTAATAATTAAGGTACATGTAACTGATAACTGTTGTTCTATGTTTTACAAAATCGGAACTTTTCATTTGTGACACTAACCGCGGGAATCGGTTCCGGAAACGATTCTTCGCCCAGCTCTACTGTGAACTTCTGCAGCCTGATCACGATTTCTGCCATTGATCTCTGTTGAAGCCACGTCCACTGTGTATCGATCTTATCGTAATTCTTCTGAAGAGCTGGACCTTTTCAGAACCGCTCATAAAACAAGAAGTGATGCGCCGTCTTGTTCATCGACGCAA